GACAAAATAGAAATAACCAAAATTTATTCAATCCTGCGAAACACATTTAATTCCACTCAGAATTCTTTGTTTCGTTGAGCATGTTTTAAGTGCGGATTAATGTTGGGATAATTGCAGGAGATTAGATGCGCTGTGGGATTAGTTTGGAGAATCGAATGAAATCAGCGATGTTTTAAAATATATTTTATTTTCATAGATGGTCCCCAAATGATAAAAACAATCCACTGACCTTTATAAATCATTTACAATGATATTTACAATTAAAAACTAATATATATATATATTAAATGCCACACGTACAATTCGCACATATTGTATATATATAAAAGAAAAAACAATAATCGCTAAAGAAACGAAACGTGTAAAGAATACAGTTGATAAAAATCGTATAATAAATCATTGCTAAGTCTTAATTAGATTGCTGAATATCAAATTATATATAATATATTAACCAAGGCACTAATAAGAAACGTATATACAACTACAGAATGTATATATATATAAAAACAAACACCGAAAACTAGTTAATAGAGGAAGGAGAAAGAAAAGAGAAAGCAATTATTACATTCAAAATGATTATGATGATACCGCCTTCAAATATTCCGTCTACATTAGTTTCGTTAGAAAAAAAATAATTGATCTAATAAATAGTTTAATTATTTACAATTCACTTCGTGCAATGAAATCAAGTTTAGGAGTTGTGTGATAATATTAGTAATAATTAAAAAGATGAAAGAGAATAGTAACTGGCAATAAGAAGCATGTTTAAGAGTAATAATTATAATTTCACTACACTTTAATTAACATCGTTGAGCTTTTTTTTTTATTTAATAACACATAGTTAATCTACAAACAATATAATAACATAGGTATGAAACAAAATGCACTATAAAAATCGATCGTTTCGCAATCTGAGACTTTTTTAGATGAACTAACATTGTTTTTTTTGTTTGTTTAATTATTTTGCAAATCGAAATAACGTTCAGCTTACAAATCATTTGAATGATAGATTGAAGTATCTTCATCGAAATGATGTAAAGCGTTCAAGCAATTATTTATAGTGCATCTCAGAAAGTAATTGTATACATTCAATAAATAACTAATACATATATATATTTTTGTTTTTTTATTCATTAAATTGTTTCAAACAATATGGAAGACTTTTAAACCTACAATTGTTATAATTAACTTTTTCATTAAAATAGTTCGTAATTTTTTTTTATCCCTTTTACTTTTATTAAAAATATTTGCAACAAATTGCATAGACATATTAAGGCCCTCGTGATATTTTCTCTTTTAGTGTGTATATATATACATATAAAAAAAGTTAAGATCGACTCTTTTGGCACAGATAGAAATCAAGATGAAGAATATGTATGTTCTTTGCAATTTGAGTGACTAGCAAATTTTCTCATTTTTTTTTGTGTGGCTGCTGCTTTTGAACTGATTTTTTTTGTATAAAATATAAATGGAATGCATTTTTTTTAATGTTTTTTTTTTGATAAATCTTGTTGATCTGTCTTGTCTTATTTTATATATATATATATATGTATATAAGCTACTTAAGTCTTTATCATATATTTTTTTTTTGCTGAGATCCTGTCTCAAGTGCTTGATTGCAATCACATACCTAACACAAATTGGATGGACTTGTGCTTAATTGTCTCTACGCGCTTTTTTCTTACCTTTCTTGGGCACCTTGGCCTCTGTCCACACATCTGCACAAGAGGAAAGAAACGAGTTCATTAATAATCGGGTTAGATAATAGTTACAGATCGCGTCTTACCTCCTAATTCGTCGATGACGACGGTTCCCTCAACTTTCTCAGCTGGCTGCTCATTCATAGCCTCAGCTATTTGCTCCACAACTGGTTCAACAATTGGTTTACTTTCTACTTTTTTCTCCTTCTTCACAACCTTCTCTTTCTTCTCAACCACTTCGATGACCTCATCAATTACTGGGGCTGGCTCTGGTTTTGTCTCAACCTGCTTCTTGATCTCCTTCTCCTTCACCTCCTTGTTAACCATTTCCTTGGTGTATTTTTCAATTTCCACTGATGATTTCTCAGCTGGCTTCTTCTTGTCCTTCTTGGCTGGGCTGCCATCCTGCTTCTTCTTCTTGTCAGCTTTGGTCATCACCTTCTCCCAGTTACCATCATCATAATCAACTGGTTTCTCGTGGACAACTTTTGACTTGCTCTTCTTGCTTTTAACTTCCACAACAGCTTCCTTGGATTTAACTTCATTCTTCTTGTTCTTCTCAGTCTCCTTCTTGATCTCTTGCTTCTTGACTTGAGGCTCAGCAGTTTCTTTAGCTGGGGACTTCTTCTGCTGTTTAGCTGGAGACTTTTCAGTCTTGTTTTGAACGGAATTCGCTATGTGGCCATTAGCCGTGGATTTCTGCAATTAGGAATGATGATGTTATGTGCATATTCATATATGTGTGTGTAGATTCTGCATGACGATGGGACGTGCTGAATGCGACAAATTGCGTGCGGGAAATATGAATATTTGGCGGGCAGCGGAATCGTGACCCTGTTTATTTGGGCTCAATTATAAAAATAATTATAAGATAGAAGTTATTTAAAGAATATAATGGAAGAACATATGGTGGGTCTGACACTGCTCTAATACCCCAAATCAGGGTCTAACAATAGATTTCCGGAAATGCGTGAATGATTGTAGGGTCGTGGATTGCCATAGATACCTTTTCCTTTGGTTTTTTCTTCTTGCCACCTTGCTTCCGGTCTTCACTGGATATCGAGGAAATTTTATCAAAAGGTGGTTGGACCGTCGATTTGAAACCGCAGGCATACACCAGGACGGCCAAAACGATCACAGCTGCGATCGGTATAAGGGCAAGCTGGTTGTTTACCAATTCTGTTACCAATTCCATTGTTGCGGTAAGTTTGTAATGTGCACTAGACGAGCACTATCCAGCTAAACACCAACGAAGCTATGATTTTGGTGACGCGGCCGTGACGTACGCTCCTCCACACCACATATACCAATGTTTATATGGCTGCGCAAGACCCATGCGCCATGCTATCACCATTCATCAAATCAACAAACTTTTCCTTAAATCTCATTAATAATTTACAATTCCTAATCATTCCATAACTACCACTTTCTCATAATTATCCTAATGCATTCCTTAAAAAAAAAAACTAATTATATTTGCATGAAATGCATCACAGGTACACGTTTTTCGCAAAAATCAAAAAGTGTTCGCAACCAAACCAACACATTCCTGACAAATTATCGTTCAGAAATCATTTTAATGAATGAATAATATTAAAATTATTCTATTTATAACACATACTACGATTATTTACGCAATCGTACAAACATACTTTATCATTGAGGTTTATTTTTTTAATGTAGTCACCATTTATCCTATTACTATTCATATGCTCCAATTTTATTAAATGTTCAAATAAACATGAAGCTTCCAATTGGTTAAAAACAAATATTCATAAAGTAAATAAGTCTCACTAAATTAACATGTGAAACTATTTAAATAAGTAGATTTGAAATTTATTAATATTTTGATTTTTGCTGAACAAACAAATTAATTGCTCGTTATTTATTAGTTATCGGTTTGAAGATAAAGCGTTAATTCCTTATTAATAACTTTTTCATTTAAGCAAATAATTATCGTAGTTGTGCAGATTTTGCTAAATTTTTGTTATTAAAACTAATCATTTTTATTTCTAAAAATAACCATTTCATGATTAAACATATTCTACAACTCCTTGTAAGTGAAAGTTTTAAATATTAATTTAAATTGTTTAATTTATAAATTAAAAAATGTGTATTAAAAATTAATTAAGTATACTGTTTCTTGGATTTCGGAGATGAAGAAAACGTCCGAAATCCACAATTTCTTCAGAAACTGTTTGTTTTTCTTATGTAGATTTAACTATTTGAGCCTATTTAATACAAGTTATTTCACAAATAATCTACATAGAAATGAAAGACTAGAAATCTATATAGGAATGAAAAAAAATCTTGTTCATTGCTATTGTCTGTAATTTTATTAAAAATGAAATGGTTCGCATTGTTTATATGATTAATATTTTGATAATAGTCAAAATTGTCTAAATTTCTTGTAAGAAATATGCAAAATTTAAATTATTTGGCGCTTGTCACTAGTGGCGCCTCGCTAATGCATGTCTTTGAACTAAGATTCGATGATTGCGCCACCACAGTGGTTTGATACACCTGGCAGCTACTAGGTGGCAACGTGTAATAGATATGAAATAAGAATAAGTTTATGCATAGACAAGTTTCTATTTATTGTATTCTAATAATAATAATTAAGAAACAAAAGTTACCAATGAAAGTAAATGAAAATGAGTAATTGAAAAAAGCTACATATATGTTTTTGATATATAGTCTGAAAATTTCCCAGAAATCGTTACATAATAATGTTTGCTTGATGTGGCAAGTGGTTAGCATTGTTTTCCGTTGAGAAAAATTGCAATTTTGCAATATTTCCTTATGATAAATCATGCATTTGAAGGATACACCAATTTAGTGTCGGAATCATGAGTAATTAATTTGAAATTAATCATCGCAAAAACAACATTAAACTGTCAGCAAATACAATATAAAACAGAAAGTAAAAATTATTTCTTTTTTAACTTGTTGAACTTTTAATTTAAGTTTTAATTATATTTAATTATAATTAAAAAAGTAATTTTTGTGAAAGTATTATTTATTTTATAGCATTTAACGTTTATAATGATAAATGATTTTTCTTGAGTTTGCTGTGAAAATATTATAACTTTACACATGTTTATAATAATTTCAAGAAAATTAATGCACTGAAGTTAATATCAAAAAATAATTAATGGAAAAATGTAAATTTTCAATATATAGATAACGAAATTGTGATTGAAAATGTGTACAGTAATTGTTTTAAATAAAGTTTAACAAAATTGAATTGAAAAAAAAACTGCGAAATTCACGTAATAGCGGCGAAAGGTCAAAGAAAGATCGGCATTTCCGGCAGTTCCGGTTCTTTAAGCCACCCAAAAACTTATGGTACTGGTTTAATTATGACCAGCAAAAGGGTAACTCGTTTGTTGTACTTTACCGAATAAGAATACAAAAAAAAATACGCAGAGAGAGAGACAAGTCGTTTCCACTTGTACAAAAGAACGCCCAACAAAACGATATTTATTTAAGATCGGAAAGTGGTTTATCTAATCTTATCGCTCGAAACGAGACATAATATTTATTAAGCGGAAAATTGTGTGTATTCAATATTTTAGTTTTTTGCTTCTTCTAATGAAATATAAATTATTATTACGTGATTTATATAATTCATTATTTTATCCTGTTTATAATGAAGTTTACTAACACATATCTAAAGAGAACGATTTTAGATTGTTAAGAACGTATTTTGGATGTGAGAAGATCTAGGTATGATTTATGTTAATTGGATGATCTGAACCAGTTCTAAATCCACCGAAATATATGGAAATAGTAACGGTTTGATGCATCGTTCTAGGTTTCAATCGCCAATAGGTATTCTAAAAAGTGGTTCATCTAGAATTCGTGAGTGCTTCGAGTTGCATAAACGTCTCGTAGTTTCTAAATTTATGATCCTTTTGTTCACTGCACACAGGATGCGAGATAAATTAAATTTTTCCACGTACGGCACGGCGCAGGGCTACTTCAAGATGAAGGAGTTGATGAATATTAAGTTGTAATAAATGACCATTATGCCGCTCAGAATCTCTCAGAGAATTCGAAAGAGCAATTCCACTTTATCCATAAAATGATTATTATTATTAGTTTTAATTAATTTAATTGATTAATACTATGCATTGAAAGTATAGTATTAAAATCGAACGAATCAAACAATGTGTTCATGTTATAATGATTTGGTGATTCGAGAGGGATAATTAACGTAATTCGTGTTTTAATTACAAATTGCGCAATTGTATTTATTGTAATAGAAACCATTCTTGAGAAATGCAAATGAGGCAGACACCGTATATACTTGAAAACGAACTGTAAACTATGTTAATTTGGAAGATGACCATTTCGAAACGCTTGGTGTCTGGATAAGGTAAACACAATTATTACGTTCTGCGAATACTTTACTATACAATATGTGATGATCTCATGGTTGATATCAAATTAAGGTAGATTTTATTACAATGTCGAAAGAATTGCGTTAATAAATTGATATTTGTTTTGACAAATAAAATAAAAAATATTTCAACAACACACATTTCACAAGTTGTCAAATGTCATATTGACGTTTTATTGACGTTTGTTATTTTTTTTACTGTATTTACTAATGTTTCTTAAACCTTGACCATTTGAATACATCGACTTCAAATGGTCAAG